TTTTCATATGCAATTGCAGAGGTGGCCCAGCCGAGGGCGTTTCTCGTTCGTTGTAGCATAGGGGGTACGCGCGGTCAACGCTCAAAATCGAACCCGCACGCGAGTCGACGTACTGGGGGGCTGAAGTCCCAACCACGACTCGACGTCGGTCGACTAGGACGCATCACACACACCACGCGTTATGCCATAATACTCACACCTACCACGCATAACAACACGGAAACACACAAAACAACCACCACAAACACCACCACAACACAACAATACTCTTAGTCCCTTTAGTATCCGACCCATAACTTTTTATGCAGCAAGGATCACATAGGTATCGCGCGCTGGACTTTCGTATAAGAGTTGTGCGTGCGCTTGGCCCYCTCATAACACCCAGCCATGCGGGCATACGCAAGCACTCACGCTGATGGGGTGCTATGTGGTACTCGTAGCCTTGCGGCCCTTGATAGTCTCGAGGGTCGCGTTCGACGCTCTAGTGTCGGCTGACAGGCGCTTTGAGGGGTTATCTCTCRACGCCAGACAACCGCCATGTGCGGTTGAAGACCACACCCTCTTCTGCACCCTGTGCAGAGGGGTTGAGTAGACAGCTTTAGGGCTGTCGTGGTAGCCAAAATCAAGGGGGTTGACTTTGACGGCCGCCACGAACTGCAACGTCCAGCAAGAAACTAAAAAAGGAGAACAACCACCGAAAAGGAGAGACTCCGCTCGACCCATAACTTTCTGCAGCGGAAGTCRGTACCTGCCGTGCGCAAGTTTTAGTATAAGATCGCGTGGACGCAGGTCCTACCCATATCGATCCGCAATGCAGTCCTACGCGATTAGCTGCGATGACGGCGCACTATATGGCGCCCATTCTCAAATGGCCTTATCTGAGCCGTGGGGTCGCCTTCGACGCTTAGCCATCGGTTGAAGTGTGCGCTAGGGGGGACAACCCTTTAACGAGCGCAACTCCGGCCTGAGGGCCTTACCATCTTCTACACCCTGAGGTGTCCCTAAGGGCGCAGGGTAAGATGGTCCCTAGGGCAGGAAGGAATTTGGAGCGGTGGTGAGTTGTCTGGCGCATCACCAGGGACACGCTAATCCTTCCGCCCGGAACTTTATCGTTCCACCAAAACAACTTTCAAAAAAATAAACCATACCTTCAACATTATCAGAAGAAAATATTTCCAGTGTTAAGCCTGAAACCCGGGACGTCCTGGACAAGGACCGTCGTATTCCAGGTTCAGGGCTGACGTCCGACCAAGAATCCTTCAAGACGCATATGTACCAAATAGAGGGATCATCCTCCTTTCTATTAGTCCTCACCCTAGCTTAAATCCTCAGTACGCGGGCACTTCAGACCACATTAATACCCTACATAGGTATACGTACATACATACATATATACAAGGAAATAGATATGTGACGATCACATCTCACAATCACAATGGGACTCCTCATAGCCATAC